GGCATGTACCCTGAGAAAATTTTAATTTCAAAATTTGAAAAAGAAAAAGAACAAAAATCTTATAGACATTTTAACTTGAATTAAAGTTTTAAAAAAGTGCTAAATTTAGAAATCAAATTAACGCGTGTAAGTTAACAAAGATTTTACACAATTAGAAAGACTGGTGATTGTAAATTTTAACAGGCAGTGTAACAGCTACGTAAGAATACACACCTGATGACGGCCAATTACGGCCGAAACATGTAGTGTGGAGGAGGGAAAGAAAAAAGAACTACAATTAAATTGTTACACTTAAGACGGTGTTTGTCTCATATATAAACTTGGGGATACCGAAGTGGAAGCAATTCGCAAAATTCAGCAGGCTTTCAGCGATGATGCAATGGGGGGTCACTCAAATTAAACAGTGGTTCATCCGCTTTAAACATGGCCCTATGTCGGCGGACAGTGAGCAGCATTCCGGGAGACCATCAACGAGCCGAAATGCTGATGTCATTGAAAAAGTGCGGACACTGATCATGGAGGACCGTCATTTGACCATCTGGGAAGTTGCTGATGAGGTTGGGATCAGTAGAGGTTCCACAAACATAATTTTAACTGAGGATTTGGGCATGCGAAGAGTGGCGGCAAAATTTGGCCCAAGCTGCTTTCGCCGGAGCAGCAACAACTCAGTCTTGAGGTCGTGCTGGAGTGTGCCAGCAGGGATTCTGAGGTCCTGAAGACTGTAATCACTGGTGACGAGTCGTGGGTGTACGGATATGACCCGGAAACCAAGGTCCAGGCATCACAATGGAAGCACCCAACATCCCCAAGGCCCAAAAGAGCACGACAGGTTCAGAGCAATGTGAAGGTGATACTGACTGTTTTTTTTAATTACCGGGGTGTTGTGCATCATGAGTACGCACCACTAGGCCAGACTGTCAATAAGGAGTACTACCAAGCAGTCCTCCGCCATCTTCGTGATGCAGTTTGGCGCAAGAGACTGGAGCTGTGGGATGCACGCAACTGGCATCTGCATCATGACAACGCCCCAGCTCATTCATCACACCTGATCCAGGGTTTCCTGGCCAAGCACAGCATTCTGCACGTCTACCAGGCTCCCTAATCTCCTGACATAGCTCCTTGTGATTTCTGGCTGTTCCCGAGATTGAAGACACCGCTAAAAAGTTGTCATTTTGACAGCCACGAGGACATCATACAGAATGCGACGGCGCCGCTGCACACCATTCCAAAAGAAGCCTTCCAGAATTGCTTCCAGCAATGGTAGGACCGCTGGGCTAAGTGTGTGGAGTCACAAGGGGCCTACTTTGAAGGTGATTAGGTATTGTAACCACCCAGATACAGAACTTTTTTCCCGACCCAAGGTTGGATACTTTTTGGACAGAGTAGTACACACGTTTACAAACACGGTAAATACTCGTACAAGTCAATTCTAAAGGGTTCTGATGATGGCATATAAACTACAGCTGTAGTAAATCTGACATGGGTTGTCCAGTGACTGATATTAGCTCTTTCTAAGGGACCCAACAGAGTAGGTGCCTCCCCCTTTCATCTGAGGATAAATCTGGTTTCCAAAACATTTTGTTTTTATAGTTTTTAGAATATCAGACAATGGACAAATTCTGAAAACCCAGTAACTCTGACAGTAATTACACCATTACAGTATTCAAAACATATGGAGCCACTCACAATATTTTAAAAATGTACCTTTGATTTCTTACTTGGAGTCTCATGCGTTCTCTTAAAAAAAAATTGACTTATTTTCTTGTTATTTTAGCTATAATAACTAAAAGCATTGAAATTCTAACCTCTTTTTGCTAGCAACTGTATTTATTAGCTTTAATAACATTTATAATTCACAACTTTGAAATTGCAGTCACTATAAAACATGAACATGACAGCTGCTGATCTCTGAGTCTGTCAAAAAATTATGCTGAGATAAAACTATCCCACAAGCTCTATCTTAAAATTAAATCTGTATCCAATAAGAGTAATTTCAAAGTAGCAATAAAAGTAATCCTTTTCATCTGTAACTTTTACTTTGTCGGCTTTATACGACTCAGAAACAATCCCACAATCTAAGCTTATGGTCATTCTTATGAGCACTTCCCTGTCTACCTGCAATCCCAGTGTAGCCAGTTTCCCATCTTATGAAGTACAAGTAAAAGGTACAGTTGTCCCTATGCTTAACTAATTAAGTACTACACCATGAAGGTTCATGGGGGAGTGGACGTATAGATCCACATTTTCTTGGCCTCAGCACTAGCTGGAAGTGAGTGGTCAGCTTCACACCCCTGCTGCTTTACCCCTGGGGAAAGAGCTCCTGGCACCCACTGGTTGGGAGGCTGGGTGAGTCCCAGAGCCAGTCTGAACACTGTGGAAAGAGAAAATTCTTGACCCTATCATGACTCAAACTCCGGCCCCTCAGTCGTCCAGCCCATATATGAAGTACAAGTACTTGGTTTATTTATTACTTGCTGTATATTTAAGAAAACGAAGATGAAATCAGATGAAGGTTTCTGTTCCCAAACTATGAGAAATTCTAAATAATTTGTATATTTAAAAAAATCATTACATACTAATATTTAAATGTCTCAAATTTGAAATATTTGAAGAATAAAAGTGGTGGTCAAGGAAACTATATTTATGTAAGTGTATTGATTGCCACGTAAGAAATCCTTACGAGAATAAGTGGCACGACATTGAAAGTGAAGTAAAATAGTTCACTTTGATATAAGGGAGCTGCAACATTATATTACATCTCCATAAAGATGAGATAAGGACTAGTAAATAAATTTTCATTAAATCAGTGGTTAAATTTCCCTTACATCTTAATCTGTATTCTTGTCTCCAGAGAAGAGCTATAAACATAATAAAATCTGTCATCCAATTCATCCATGCTAAAACCACATCACAAGAGCACTTTCATTATAATAACAGCACACATTCTTTCCTTCGACCATAACGTAACCAGCATAATACCAACATTAATTTTGTCGACAGTCCTACCAATCATTCTGAGTTGTGACCACAGAAGTTGTGACCGGTTGTGACTACGTTATTCAGATTCAGAAAGACCTTACTAATACGTGGGAACAACTAGTTACAGGTTATACGAACTATTTGGAATGCTATGTGGGATACAAAACTATGTAGTGCTATGTAGCCTATTTCGTTGAAGGTCAACCACCGTTTCACAGGAACACGTGGCCTCGACTGCCTCAACGGACTACACGACGCTATGTCCAACATGTAACTCTTCTTCGTAACCACCGCTGCGAGAACCTCAAATTCGGACTACACGACGCTATGTCCAACACGGTCCAACATGTAACTGTTCTTCGTAACCACCGCTGCGAGAACCTCAAATTCAACATAATTACAGTTGGTCTTCGAATAAATAATTACTACATAGGTTCTGTATTATTCGGTGCTTCTCGTAACATGAGTGGTTTGAGCGGTTCATTCATTCATTCATTTTATTAATCCTGTAGATCATGATACAATGATATAGGACAAATCTTACAGCTAATATACAATATTAAATTACAACAATCTTAATACTGAAAAATTATATAAGATATACATTTTATACATTATATATATACTTCTGCTTATATCAGTAGCCAATATTTGAGAATTCATCGTTCAAATAGGCCTCCGTTGAGTAATAGGACATCAGAATGAGTAAATTCTTCAATTCCCTTGTGAACTGATTTTGTTTTCTATTTCTTTTATGTTGTTAGGCAATTTGTTGTAAAAGATACAGCCAGCTACTGAAGGATTACTATTATAAAGTTCTAAGTTGTGCCCATATATATGATAGTCTTTATTATTTCTTATGTATGTATTTGTTCATTCACTGTGCAGTTACACTTTTTTTTTACATACAGGATTGTTTCTTGTATATATAGCGAGTATACTGTTAGTATCTTTAGATTTCTGAAGCTATCCCTGCACAATTCCAGATGTTTTAGCCCTGCAATGTATTTTACTGCCCTTTTTTGGAGTACAAAAATTCTTCTAGTGAGGGTCTTAGCACTATGTCCCCATACTATTATTCCATAAGATAGATGAGGATAGATCAAACCGTAATACAACATTCATCTTTCATTTAAATTGAGTATTTTAGATAACCTATTAATTATGAACAGGTTATGGCTAATTCTACTCTAGGTTTTTTCAGTATGTAATTCCCAGCTCAAGGTACTATCTATTACTACCCCCAGGAAATTTGTGCTTTTTAGATTTGATATTTCCCTGTTCTTTACTAGGATTTTTAGATTACTTTCCTGCCTGCATTATTTTGTCTGGAAAAGAATATAGTGAGTTTTAGATGGATTTATAAATAAATTATTTGTCTCAAAGTATCGATCTACCACTCCTATATAATTTGAAGTGGTGTTTTGGAGCTCAGTCATATCTTTTCCTACATTCAGTATTGATGTGTCATCAGCATACAGTATTGATCTGCCTTGTGTTAGATGTGGGATATCGTTTATATACAAGATGAAGAGTAATGGGCCAAGGACCGATCCCTGGGGGACTCCCTCTGTCACTGGGAGGCTACTTGACAAATATTCTTTCATACGATTGCCTTCTTTGTGTGTTACTTTTACGTGTTGAGTTTTGTTTCTGAGATAGGATTTGATTAGCTTATGTGGTATACCACGGACTCCATATTTGTATAATTTATCCATGAGAATGTTATGTTGAATACAGTCAAAGGCTTTTGATAAGTCTAATAGTACACAGTTGCATTTTATTTTATCATTCAAACTTTCTATTATGTTTTCAATAATTGTGGCAATTGCATCATTAGTAGATTTATTTTTCCTAAATCCAAACTGAGATTTATTAGGTATATTGTGTTTTTCTAAAAATGCTATTAATTGGTTACCTAGCTGATTGTCAGCAGTAAGCTTCTGCTCTGTGGCTACCATCAATTTCTCTTCAGTCGACCGATCACAGCCATTGTAGCTATGCTGATGTCATGAAGCAGCAGCTGCCGTAACTCTCCAGTAAAACGGCGCTGAGACAACAGACTCTGCCAGTGCACGTGCCATAGGCTGCGGGTGCTACCGGCACACGCACCACCGCATCACTGGTCAGCCAGACCCGCCAAACAGCAGTCAAGATCATCAAGAAGACCTGGGCTGCTACAAAGCAGCAAACTCTACTAGCGCACTCACAGTTGAACAAACGGCCCCTTTCAGGCCCAGCAAACTCTGGTTGAACAAACACCCCTTTTCAGGGCCAGCAATCTTGTGAACAAGAGATATATATCGAAACGGCTTCCCAGCCATCCTTTACATTTGTAAATAATATATGCACCTATGTATGGGTAAGATGTTTACCATCCCATGAATATTTCCAAATAAAAATCAGATCAGTGGATAGCATACTGTAACTCAATTGTGTAAGAAGATTTACAAGGAGAGTAGATGTGGGCTACAAAATTTATATGGACAGTTATTTCTTTTCTTTAGACACACATGATGACCATCGCACAAGAGCTCCCAATTTTTGTGAAACTGTTGGCCTAAACTATGAAAAATGCTAGAGAGACATGACAGTAAACACTGAAATTTTCTTTTGATGACCATGCTAGGAATGGCTGTTTGCCATTCATTTAGTTGGAGAACATGGAAGTACACAAAACATTATTTTCACACCTGCTGGATATGAATATATTGAATAGCTATGCCTCCAAACATTGTGGTTATACCAGCTGTTGGAGTTTCAGTATTAATAAGCAGCAGGCATTGAAAACACACTTCGGAAAGATGGCATCACATAATTCTTAAAAATAGTTGTATTCCCCCCCCCCTTTGGAAAATACACAGCCTGTTACAATACTGCACAGTGATTTATATGAATGGTTTAGATCTCTTCTGAGAATTGATGTAAAAATATTATTTAACCCATACACATCATTATACACTGGCATTTGCTACACATTTCATCAAAAACTACCATCACCAATACTGTAGCTTTAAGTATTTGTGTTAGTGGTCCTATAACTTTCTTTATATGTATACATCTTATTATAAAGCCAGTAGAATTCACTGTATGGATTTGCATTATTTAAAGATTGTTAAAACACTTTACTAAACATTTTGTTGAAATAATTGTAAAACACTTTACTAAACATTTTGTTGAAATAATTGCTGTTCTGAGAATCTAAGTGCAAGCGTATCATAGGTTCAGTAGTCTGTCTTGGGCCTGATTTGTATTAATGTTGTTTTAAGTGCTTCTTAAAAAAGATATCATTTTGAGAGAATTATAAGAGAGATTTTCTAAACGTGGGGCCGAAGCTCCTATAAAAGTTTAAATGACAAATCTAGAGATCATTGTGTAGATGTTCTTATGTCACTTTTACCATTAAGTGTATACAAAAAATTCAGTATATAGAATTTATCTAGTTTTAATACTGTTTATATTTTTATAAGTTAAAATTCTTGTACATAATTCTCATGACTAAATGCTAACAAGACATTGTTATTTGAATTATTGTAATATACACACTTACATGATGGCTACAAAGCAAGAGTTAGTAAATACAAGGATGATGAAAATGGACAGATGATTAATAACATTTCAGTGATAATAAATGGTTTAGTAACATCTAATAACAATAAAGTTCTAAACAGTAACATCCTACATTCATATGATGAAACCGTTGAGGCTAATGCAAGGATTGAGAAAGAGAAAGTTGCTGATTCAGCAGCAAGTGCTTCAAAGAACAAAGGAAACCACACTATGTTAATTATTGGAGACAGCCATGTAAGGAGATGTGCAAGTAAATTGAGAGAAAATCTTGATAAAACTTATAAGGTAATTGGAATTATAAAACCAGGAGCTGATTTATTTACCCTAAGTAATTCTGTAAAACATACTATTTTAACCTTAGGAAAAAATGATGCTCTTGTATTTAGTTGAGGTGCAAACAATATCGCAAAAAATAATTCAAAAATGGGACTAAGACACATTTTAAACTTTGTAAGTAATAATACTCATACTAATATTATTCTATTAGGTATATCACATAGACATGACCTGGCAGATTGGTCTTGTATAAATAATGAGATAAATGCCTTTAATAGGAAACTGTTTAAAATCATGAAATGTCATGAACAGGTCACAGTAATGAACTGTGACTTAAACAGACACTTCTTTACAAGACAAGGTATGCATCTGAACAGGAGAGGAAAAGAAGAAATACTTAAACATATGGCAGCAACCTGTGTGACAATTTCTCAATCTAATAAAAATTTGACCCCAATTTGCTTGCTCTGGAAAGAATCTGAAAATTATAATGCAAATCTACAAGCTAACAAGTGTACAGCTATGAATGACTCAGTAAAAACAACTACAGAGCAAAAAAAAATGAACCAGTACGCAAATCAAATAGACTCAAAAAACTACCAGGTATGTAAAATAAGGATTTTTTATGGTAAATAAGAGTACTCCAAAAAGAAATATTTCCTTAAACAGAGTAACCAAAAAACAAAATGATATCAAATTCTTTAATATTTTCCATCAGAACATTAGGGGTTTAAGGGGGAAAGCAAATGAGCTATTAAATCATCTACACCCAGCCTCCCCCCACATATTATGTTTTACAGAACATCACATGAATTTCTTGGAATTACAACAGTTATATTCGTATAAACTAGGAACAAACTATTGTAGAACCTTGTATGAAAAGGACGAGTATGTATTGTCGTGTATCGGGCGTATATCGCGACAAATAACTTCATGAGGTATTTGATGTAGCGAATTTTATTTCANGGAGGGGGAGGGGAGCGCTGACTCTCCCGCCGCGTCACTGCTGGTGGGGGGGGGGTTCTCCTTTGCGCAACATGTCACACTGCTCCCTCCTTAAGGCTGTTCGTCCCAAATAGCCTAGCGGTGCATCCCCGTTCCTTTTCCGTCCCGTAGCTGTGCTTGCGGTGTCTCCTGTTGTTTCGGTTACTCTTCTTGCAGCGACTATTCTTCGTCCATTACATCCGCTCCCCTCTTAAGACAAAGCTCGTCTCGAGCGGTTTCCTTTCAGCTCGCCAGAAGATCCAGTTGTGTCCCATTGCTGGGGTTGCTCTCGTCTCTGCGGAAGTTTTTTCTCGCCAGGCTTTCGAGTCGGCGTCTGCTTTTATTTGGATAGCCCTCATCTCTTCGTGATGTGTTTACATATCGGCTCCTAATTTGGCTAGGAAATCTCTGTCTTTCCTCCTATTGGCTTCCAGTTCTTCCAGCATTTTAAGTATTAGTTTCAAATCTTGTTTCTCCATTTTGTAGCAGTAGAATAGTCGAAGCAGCCGTAGGTTTAATTATTCTTTGAGGCGTATTTAAGCTCGAAAAAATTCTGACACTGGGAGGAACTGCTGGTGTAGCTGGAGGGGCAGCAGGCGGCTGGGAATTAGGAGCTGGCGGTGCCTGACGAAAACACTTTGGATTCACATCTGTGGTAGGAGGCACAGCTGTGATCGGCCACGCTGGATCAATTGCATTTATACATATATCCACATACAGTTTCTTTGGTGGGAACACTTTCTTCCATGTTCGACGTAATAGGAACATCTCAGTCTGTGTCTTCTTATCCACCTTTTGAAGATGTTTTTCCAAGGTCTCAACGATTATGGGAGCATGCCTGATATTTTTATGGGCATCCACTGACAGCATGTCAATCATCCGCTTACTGTTCTTAGTGAGACCCAATAAGGAGGCTGCCTTCGACATATCTGATGGAGTCATCAACACTTATCTCCTTGTCACTGCCACTTGCACCGATCAACTCCGCAAGACTATTACAGACTGACTGGCTCAGTACAACTAACTGTGAATAGCCTTCGCTGCTCCTTATGTAGCCTTGATCGGATAATACGGAAAACGGCCACGTAATAGGCACCCTTGTTGCCTGGCGCTGTGTTGCTAGTAACGCTAGCGGTAGTAACCGCTGTTACTACCGTAACAATCCTGTTGCGTCACCGTTACGTTACCGTGCGGAGGAGGGGGAGGGGAGCGCTGACTCTCCCGCCGCGTC